AAAAAGCATCTCCATCTATTAAATTTCCTGAAGTTGATAATTCTGAAATAATACCAGATAATGTCTTCCCTGTTTGGAAATGAATCAATTCCAAGCTATCTTTGAGTTACCTGACTCAATCTGAATTTGAGAAATCAGCCAAACTAGTTCCTCACCAAACCAGTTTTTTAGTTCTTCAATATTCCACCTGCCTTGTATTATAAATTTAGCAAGTAACATATCCTCATTTAAGTGAACAAAAGTTGGCCATTTCATAATGCTTTTGTCCAACAACCAAACATCATTTAGAATATGAACAGACTTCCCATCATTTATCTTCCATCTAATCGTTGGAGCTATAGCTTTACATCCTTTCAAAACAATTTTGTAAACCGAGTTTTCCAGTTAAAGTTCTTGTATTTAGCAACCAATACCTGGTATACAAATGAATAAGATCCCTTAAGAAAATTCCATGCAAATTTGGCTCTAGATGGTCCAATCCTTTTAATACAGGAATGTAGATTTTGCCCACCCAATTTTCTGGGTAAGCAGAGGATATCCCAGCTGACATAATGCATTCCTGGAATACCATTCTGTTTATTCCATATAAAATCACTTCAAATTCTATCCAAGTTAGAAAGAATTCTCATGGGAATCATAGAATGAGCAGTTTAAAATAAAGGTAGCGAGAGGATCATAGATTTTACCAACATTATTTTGCCAAGGAATGATATATACTTATTACTCCAATTTTGGATCTTATCCATTATTTTTTTAATAAGAAATCCAAAATCATCAACACCAAGCCTTCTTAATGCAATTTTCACACCCAAGTAAGTCATTCCTTTAGCCACCCTTAGTCCCTTCTGCTGAGAGATACATTTTTTCTTCCTTCTGCAAACTGAATTGCGAAATAAAATAATAGTTTTTTTAAGTTTATGGCTTGACCAATCAAACCGTAGTATTGTAATAAGATGCTTCTGATCTTTTTAACCATTTTGATAGAATCATCAGAAAACAACACAATATCATCTGCATATAGTAAATGAGATATACAAGGAACATTAGAATGGATTTTGATACCAAGTTCTCCTTTCTCCAAGGCTAATGCATTTGATAACAATTGAGAACAAAGAATAAATAGAATTGGAGATAAAGGGCAGCTATGTCAAAATCCACAAAATGCTTTAATCCAGTTAGAGTACTTGCCATTAATCAAAATAGAAAAAGCTGGGTACTACACACATTCCAAAATCAAAGAAGAAAATTTAACTGGAAAGCCAAAATACTGAAGAACTTGCTTCAAGGTTGCCCAGCCCATACTATCATAGGCTTGCTCCATGTCAATCTTGAAAGCAACTAAACCTTTCTTTGTTCTATAAAATCTAAATTTGTGTAAAATCTCTTGAGCTAGCAATACATGTTCAGACATGTATCTCCCCTTCAAAAAGGATACTTGCTCACTAAAAATAAGTTTTGAAATGACCTTGAACATTCTATTTAAAAGAATCTTCGCCACGATCTTATAAATAGATTTACATAAGCTTATGGGTCTAAAGTTTGATGGAAGCAAAGGATTATTAGTCTTTGGAATGAGCCTTACTAAGGTCTCTTTCCATCTATCATCCATAGTACCAGATGTAAAAAAATGTTGAATTGCTTCCACAAATAAAACTTAATTAAATTCGAATATATCTTAATAAAGGAGTAAGATATTCCATTGTTACCTGGAGATATAAATCCATCGAGCTGATTTACCACCTCCATCACCTCCTCCCAAGAAATTTCCACAACCAGAACATTCATGTCTTCATCCTTGAGCACACTGATGGGTGATGGCCAATCATCTAGAGAACAATCTCTACTCCTCTATTTATTACTAAAGAAGTTTAAAAAAACTTCATCAACCTTGCTAGGATCTTCTACCATATCTCCAACATGATTTTTGATTTTATACACCCAATTAGAATTCCTTCTATTATTGGTGAAAGGAATGAAAAAAACTGGAATTTATATCACCTTCTTCAAGACACTTTACCTTCGAATGTTGCCTCCACCAAGTGTTTAATCTGGCCAAGGTCTAATTGAGTTCATCCACCTTAGACCTGAGTAATTTCAATTTATCTATGTAAAGAAAACCTTCCTTTGCCTCTTCTAATTGCAGGACCAGTATTTCTTCTTTGAGGCAATTTTTCAATTGATTAAATCATGAAGCTTAGCCTTGATCCAAAAGTAAAGAGCTCTCAAAGTTCTTTTAGCTTTGGTATCAAGAATTTCAGATGGACTCCCATTCACTTGCCTGGACCAAGCTATGGCCACCACTTCATAAGAAGCATGGTAAGAAGCCCAGGACAATGATAAGAAGCAATCCTTGCTAGATGTTTCACCAACACCAATTGAGAAACTTCAATAGCTTTCGAATTAAAATGGCATATATCTAACCTTTCCAAGATCTGAGTTCCATCTGTTTTATTATTACACCAAGTAAAGCGAGGTCTTGTGAAGCCAACATCATGAAAATCATTTTTTTTTTGAGAAATGTTAAGTAGCAATAATAAAAAAAAAACACCAAATAGCCTAGATACAAGCTAATGAGGAACCAACCATCTTCACTTTCTTCCTTTACTATTTTAACAAAGGAAGAAGGAAGGTTGTTCTCAAGGAACAAATCCTAATCAAAATCAAATGATAAAGCTAAGCTAGCACAATAATCCGCTAACATATAATTGCGGCTAAGACAATTAAAGATAACATTATTAAAATTGCTAAAGAATAAAAGATCTTCATCTTCCAAGTTCTCTCTAAAAATCTTCGGATTGCTGTACAAATTCTGAAGATATTAGAGAACATTCTTATTGTCACCTTCCAAAATAATACCTTTTACTTTTCTTGTCCATCCTTGACATATTTCTTTTAAGGCTTTGAATGCTGAGAGCTCCATTTGTGCATTGTCCCAATGCAGCTTTTTTTCTTCCAAAAGCAAAGACAAATCTACCTTTATCATCTCTTACAACCCCACTGATACCAGCCACATAGTTCTCTTTAAGTGCTGCATCAAGATTAATTTTAAGCCACTCAGGTGGTGGAGGATGCCAATAATGTAGGAGCATTCCATTAGACTGATAAGCAACCCAGTGATCTGAGCATAAACATCCTGTTTTGCTGAGCTAAAAAAGCTTAAAATTGAAGTAGCAATCATTACCTTACTGCTTCCAGTTTTTCCATGTTCAACCTTGCACCTATTATTCCAAACCATCCATACTAGTAGTGCATACATCCTTGCTGCCATCAGGTCATCCTCTATTAATCTCCTGAATCCTTGATTGAATTCTCTCCAATTATAGAAATATGGAATTTTAAATCCCCAACCTTATAATACCTTGTAGACTTCCACAAGTATTGAACAATTAGATGTAACATGATCAAGTTCTTCAATCACCCCACATCCCATAGGACATAAGCAGTTAACCTAAAGCTTCCTTTTAAAAAGAAAAACTTCAGTAGGAATAGCTTCTATACATAATCTTCATAAAAACAACTCCACCCGAGCATTGATCTTCAGCTTATGAATCCAAGTAAACAAATTTTTTGACATTAAATATTTAAGATTGTCTTCTATCAACAATGCTGAGATAGTTTTACCAGAAAATTGAAGCTTCAATTCCATATGATCTTTTGATGAATTGTTGTAAATCTTTATTCCTTCAATAATTTTCAGAAGATCTTCACCGAAGAAATGTCTCAGTTTGATGAAATCCCATTTTCCATCTTCTATGAAATAATCAAGAGAAGCATTGTCATCATCAAAGCATCCTACTAAAGTTGGCCATTTAAGAAGACTCTTATCTAGAATCCAAGCATCCTTTAATACATTAATGTTGGATTATCTAGAATCCAAGCATCCTTTAATACATTAATGTTGGATCCATTAATTACTCTCCATCTAACAAACTTCTTTAGAGCTTTCCATCTACTGATGATGATTTTCCAAGAATTTGATCCTCCTTTAAAATCTTCCTTGCTCCACCACAAATCACCATATTTTGCTAATAGGTTTCTATTTAACAAAGTATTTGGTTTCTCAATGAGATTCCAAGCAAACTTTGCTTTAAGAGTTTCAATTCTGCAAATGGCTGATTGAAGACCCCATCCTCCACTATGCTTTGGTATACATAACAATTCCCATGCCACATAATGCAAACCATGGCTTCTATCCATTTTATTCCAAATGAATTCTCTACTGAGTTTTTCTAACTCATATAAAGTTTTCATTGGGACAATAGAGTGAGAGATTAAGAAAACCAGCAGAGTGAGAATAACAGACTTTACCATACATATCCTTCCGGCTAATGACATATGTCTATTTCCCCACTCATTCATTTTCTTAATAGTTTTATCCAACAGCATATGGAATCATCCTTTTTTAATCGTCTCAAAGCAATTTTGATTCCCAGGTATTCTATTTCTTCAACCAATTTGAATTCCAGCAGCTTTGATATCTATTTCTTCCTTCTCCTCAACACAAATTTACCAAAAATCAATGATGATTTATACTCTGGCCAGTCTTGCTGCAGTATTATTTTACTATGCTTTTAATCTTCTTCACATTTTTTAATTTTGCATCAGACAGCAATAATACATCATCTGTGTACATAAGATGTGTAATCCTAGGAGCATTAGAGCAAATGCTGATTCCCAAATTCTTTCCCCTGCTGTAGAAAATATTAGTTAATAATTGGGAGCATATGATAAACAAAAATTGAGAGAGTGGGCAACCTTGTCGAAATCCATGTCATCTCCCATGTAGTTCTTCTTCCAACCTTTAGAAACTATGTGCTCCGATGTTTTAAAGGATAACCAAACATCTTCAAATTTAATAAACCTTCTCATCTTTATTGTTACATCAAATAATTAAAGCACTATAGGGCAGTGGTAAAAAGCCACTCTGGCTAAGTGTCTTACCACTGCAATTTGAATACTTTGAAGAGCCATGGAATTCAACAAACACCTATCCAAACGTTTTAGAATTCTTCCACTTCCCACTTTATTATTGAACCAAGTATATCTTGGACCACCACTCCAACATCATGATAATCATTATCATTCATGAATTTGAACATTTCTAAGGAACCTTGAGAAAAGGTAAACTTCCTCCCTCCTCTTTTTTCCTCTTGGGACAAAATGCAGTTGAAATCCCCACCAATAACTGCTGGAATATTCCTCTGTGATTTCTCATGAATGCAATCCCATAACAATCTTCTCTTGTGAACCTCTTTGCTCCCATAGACAGTAGCAATCATCCAACTTCCCTTGTTAAAGACATTAAGATCTCCTATCATGCAATAATCTAAAGTCTTTAAAACTGAAAAGGAAGCTATATCAATTCTCCAAAGAATCATAATGCCGCCAGATAATTCCTCAGAAGGTAGAATAAAGAAATCCCAATTAGGACCCTTGATCCTCTCAAAATCAATTCTATCAAAAGAGCTGATTTTAGTTTCTACTAAACCAACAAAGAATACCTTGTAATCATTTATGAACTCCTTCATATATAGAGATGCTTCCTTCTTCTTTGCCCCTCCACAATTCCAAAAAGCTATGGAATCCATTAAAGCCTTTTTGGGGAGTATCCGCCAACTTTCCTCCTTCTACCTCCTTCTTCAATTCTTCCACGGGATTTATTCTTAATGGGCCCTAAAGATCTTAGCTCTTTTGACAATTTGCACTTAGGCAATTCTTCATTCAGGCAATTGTCTTTTCCAAAACAAATATCTCTCCAGCATCCATATTTTTAACAGATTTTCTTTCACTTCCAGTTTACCATCTTCATCATTCACCATAGAAATTTGTAAATTATCATCTTCATTTCCATCTTCACTAACTGTTTGAAGAATAGAGAACATATTTTCTCTCTCCTGAATTGCAGGAGCTTCCACAATAAATTATTTCCTGCTATTAATTTAGTAGAATTGCTGACAGAGATCACTATTTCATGATATGGAATACTTGAGTTCGCAAGTAATCCCTTAGGATTTACTTGAGCTCGCAAGCAACCCTTCCCATCTATGCTGTTAGATATAAGAATAGAGTCAGCCATTTCCATGTTATTATCCTGAGAGAGATCAATGTTTTGTTCAGGCCTGAACTCCCCATCTTTTAAATGTTAAGCCTCATCACATAAGCTTCCTGGAATCTCTTGGATCGAGCTCTCTCTGATGTCAGCATCCATAATTTTCTGAACTTTATGTTCAACTTCTACTGGAACCACAGATTTTTTAACATATATGAGTGTGTTTGGTTTGATCTCCTTATTCCTCTATTTAGAATTCCTCCTTCTCTTGTTGTTGACCATAATCCATGGACCATAGGATGGTTCTATCAGAACCTCTTATTTCCTTCCCACATCATTTTCTCTACCAATTCCATCAGTAGCCTCCACTCCTTTAGGATTATTTATTTTTTGACCACATTCTTTATTCACATGTCCAATCCTCCCACATACAAAGAAAAAGTTAGAAACCTTCTCATATTCCACATTTTGGAAGAACCTTCCAGCCATGCTATCCACCCAAACACCTATTGGAAGAGGTTGATCAAGACTAATTCTTACACATACTCTTGCAAATTCTCTCCTTCCCCAATGGAACATATTACCATCCAACATAAGTGGTTTTCCAATTCTTGAGGCAATACAAGCTACATTCTTCTCATCCCAACATTGCAAAGGTAAATGGGGCATTCCAATGCAAATTGGAGAAGAGAGTCTCTTAATAGATGCAGTAGTAAAATACGGAGTCCACTTCTCCATTCCTACTATATGTCCATTTACAAACCAAGGGCCACCTGAATGAACTACTTCAACCATTTCTTCCGATGAGAAAGAACATAAGAACCATCCTCTACCCAATGTAGTAAAGTGGAATTACCCGAATTGACTCCATTGTTTCCTTATCTCCCAAGCCACCAAATGAGATGGTAAATTTTTCCCAAATAACTTAATTACCAATGAATTGGAAAGTTTTTTTGAGTTCATCTTCTCCAGATCTTAATTTAACCATATTGCCATTCCATCTTCAGAATAAACCACCTCCGCTTCTTTGAAATCCAGCTTTATATAAGGTTTGTTACTCCATGGATTCACATTACCCAAGCCTACTGAGCTTTTAGGAATTCCATCAGAAAGCTTATCTTTGTTTTGGCTCATTCCTTCTTTCAGGTTCAGAATGAATATTTTTGTTAAACAAATTTTGAGAATTTTCATTTATCACGTTGTGACTAAGTCCAGGGATTGCATTCAAAATTCCCGAATCGATTAACAAAAATTTTCATTCCAGAAGTTGATGTAGTATTATCAGAAAGAATAACTGTAGATTTAAAACTATTGGAGTAACCACATTCATAACTTCAGCTATAGCCTTACCTTTGCCTTCCACATGCTTGATGAACTTAGGAAATATTTCAGAAACATCCTTTATCACCAAAGGTCCTTGCTGTTTAATCAAATGATTTTGAATTTTCTGTATGGAATTCGCACACGACAAGCCATCACCTGCAACATTTATCTGCTGTCAGTTTTCGATGACGGTTTTTGTTATTCTTCGACGTCAATATCCACTGTCTGCCCTTGCCGGCGGAAGTCCGCCGCCATCATCCCTCTCCATTCCTAATAAGCAGAAATAGAATGCAGGAGATGGAGATTGAGATACAGCCCATGACAGAATAATCCTCCTCTTGATTTAATCCCGGTGCTTCAATAATACTGCATTATTCAGTGATTCAATGGGCTTTATAACATTCTCCACTTCATTCTTTCCATTGTCTATATCCAAATCAACACTATTAGTACCATTCTCCTTATATCCCTTGACCGGGTTAGCAGTCACCCCACATCTTACACCATTTTTCTTCCAGTTTTTCCCATATTTTACATGGATCCAAGGTCCATAAGTAAGTTCTGATTTGGAAATTGTCTCCTTTTCAGCCACACTTTCACTACTATTTTTTTAAAATGTTTTCCTTAACAGGAATATCATTCACATTAGCAGATATATGTGTTGAGATCAGATTACCCTCCAAGCTTAGACATTTGTTGTTTAAGTGACCAATTTTACCACATTTGTAGCAGAAACTATTAATCTGTTCATACTCAACATTTTGGAAAAATCTACCAAAACTTCCTTCAACCCAAACTCCAAGGGGTAATTGCTTATCCAACTGAATTCAGATACAAATTCGTGCAAATTCCCTCCTTCCCCATTTAAATGTGTTTCCATCTAACATATATGGTGTCCCAATTTGAGAAGCGATTCTACAAATATTAATTTCATCTCAGTATTGCATTGGCAAGTTTGACATTCTTATCCAAATAGGAGCAGTAAGACCTTTGAGGGATCCTAGTAAAAAATTCAGAGACCACCTATCTATGCCAATAATCTGCCCATTCACATACCATGGTCCCTCCGATATAATAGATTCTACATCTTCCATCTTATTGAAAGCACAAAGGACCCAACCCATTCCAAATAATGTCAGATGGAATTTACCAAATCAAGCCCACTGTCTACGTAATTATCCACTAATCAAATGAAGAGGGACATTGTCACCAAATATTTTCACCACAAGCAATTTTTGAAGCCTCAAAATATTTCCATTTTTATTGTCTTCATTCATCTTGACAGCCACTCCATCTTTAGTTAAAAAATTTCCCTCCTTATTAGTAATTCTGATATTAGGCCTTTTAATCAGGGCATTGAGCATAACATTCCCCTTATGTACTTCCTGATTCACCATAGCATCTCCACTTAATCCTTCATCTCCAGAATTTAATTTCTCAGAATTACATGCACGGTTAGAGTTACAGCCAACATCCAGGGAAGACTCAGCCACCTTTGAACCATGAAGATCCAAATCCTTTTGATTAATATTTTTGTCAACTGATATCAGGGAATTCACATTTATCACACTGTTGCCAGGGATTGCATTTGAATTACTTAATCTATTGACAAAAATTTTCATACCAGAAGAAGAAGCCTGTAGATCAATTGATTTCAATAGATGAGAGCTTATCAGAGTTATTAACTTTTTTGTTGTTCTGCATTATGGTTCTATAAAAATTACCTTATCTTTTCCTTCCACAAAGATAGTTCTACTGGGAGCAGCTTCCACATTTTCCTTTATTATTCAAGGTCATTGGGACTTCCTCGAATGAGCTTCAACACTATCTTGTTCCAAACCAGCCTTGAGATTACCTCTATTTTGAACAACCCAACCATCGTCAGTCTTGGTATCATCAGATGATACCATCGGTGATGGCTGGTGGCCACCCGTAATCATCTCCGATGTACTTCCTTGAATTAAGGAATGAAAATTGGGAAGCAAAAATTTGAAATGAATGGGCTTTCTCTCAATAGACGGGACTTTCCCCTGCTGAAGTCTAGTTTAACAAAAAATAAAATAAAATAAAAATTATTTTAGAGAACAAAATATTACAAATGAAAATGGGCTTCTAACAGTGAGGGCATGGGTAGCTCTCCCCATATAGGTTTTTATGTTACTCACATTGAGCGTATACACTATTTGGTATAATTTTTACCCTAATTATCTTTATATGTTTCCAATTAAATATATTTAACTTGATATTTTTCTTCTATAAAACAAGAACTTGAAAAAAACCTATATTTTTTGAATTACATACACACATGCATCAGCACTTGGAGAATAAATAGTGGGTAGATTAAGAATCTAGAAAAGTGCATGTGAATAAATGAATTTTTGGGATTAATTTCTCTATATATTTAATATGTTTTAGGAGGACTTTTTTTTTTTTTTTGAAGAAATCCAAATTGCATTAAAAGATGAAATACCCAATTCAATCTAGAAAGAAAAAGCAAACCCTTTAAAACTATCATAATGGATATGCGATCCACTAAATTCCATTTTAGATCCATTGGGGTGATGGGGATACCAAATATTAAAACAACCTAAAAGGTTTGTTAGTATCCCAACTTCCCCAAAAGATGGAAAATGAAACCTAGTAAAAATCCCATATTTCATCATAATGGTTTTAAAAATGTATAAGAAGCCTATAAGTAAAACAAGCAAATGATAACTAGTTTGAAGAAAAATAAAAACAACTACTAAAATAGCTATCCAAACATCAACTAGACCCCCATCGATCAAAGGGTCCAATAAGCTCCAATTAAGAGTAAAATTTGTTGTTGTTGCATCAACACAACCGACAATAGCCACCAAGAACGAACCAATCAACAACAACAAAGCATTAACACCAACTCCCTCCTCAATAGTCCAAGAGCCTCTTCACAAGCAAAGTGATACAAACTAAAAATCACCACCACACCCATCATACTGGAAAGAACAACACCAGTAGTATTCCAATGTAAAGCCAAAACACCGATAACCACCTCAAGAAGCCAATAACCGGCCTCGTAATTGCCAAAGCCAACCGAACTGATAATCATTACCACTCTCATCACAATGACAAGAGAAAAACCAAAAAACTTCAAATCCTTCCTTTCTTTAACCAATAAGACTTCATCTTCAAAGAACAACAGAAAAACAAGTGACCAAACAGCCACCTCGTCATTACAAACATCAACCAACAACCTCCTCAACAAAGTCGATCCACGTGCAGACCCTTTATATGATCCAAACAATATTGACGAAGCAATAACAACAGCTCCAACATCAATAGGCCAAGAGACGACCTCAAACAAAACTTGATCCTCATAGATCAAAGAAGCAACATCTGCATTACCAAAAACCTCCTTCCAAATAGCTACATATCCAGCACCAAATAAACCAGAATAGTGTCTGTCCACAACCAATGGCATCAAAATCATCAACAGGGCTGTATTGACTCTAAGAATCTTCAAGAATCCAAATGAAATTGGATCTTTAAAATAATAAGAACCACCTTTATAATCTAAACATCCATTCACCATCCATCTCATAAACATCAAACGATCACACATCAAGAAAATTTTCAAACCAATTATGGAATCAAGAAAATCCATATACCATAACAAACCCGAACTCCAATTAATGTACATAAGAAAGAAATTTGCCCCAGCATAAAATTCGTTCCCAAGAATGTTGTAGGTATAGAAGAACCAACATAAAAACTTCTCCAAAAACACCTTCAGATTTGAAATCTCATAAAAATCAATCAAGAATCTAATATTTGTAGGATAACCACATCCCACACAACCGGAAGCCAAACAAAGCCAACAGAGATCCGTCGCAAGCAGAAATCAGCGAAAAATGATTTCAATTCAGTAGAAACACCAAAATCATCGGTCCTAAAGAGAACCTCTACCGGATAAATCTTCATAAAAATCGCATCTATGTACAAATTTGAGATGTCAGAGCTGAACCAAATTGCTCCTTCGACCATATCAAGCCGACAGAGAACCACCGGACGCCGAAGATCCTCCAAAATTGCCAAGAATCAATTCTTCGTCAAGATTGCCTTCTCCGCTTCAGGATCGCCTTCTCCGTCGCTATGTTTTAGGAGGACTATGGAAGACTATATAATACACAAATATAAGCTTTTTCTATTATAGGATCCTCTACAAGACAACATAGCAATCAAATTATAATTTATGGTCCAAAGTAGTTAAAGGATTGCATAGGGGAAGAGTATATGCAGTAATCTCAAAAGCCTATACATATAAGACACAAACCACCAGTTTAACATCCTTCATGATAGCAAGGTAGAGGAGATAATCAATTGAATGGATGTTGGCATAATAGAAGAATTGCAAAGTATGCAAAAAATTCAAGCTGATATATAATTAGAACAAATTAAGATGAAGGGTGAGTTGCAAGCATTTGTACTACAACATCATCAATAGTAGGCTTAGGAGAGTGATAAGATAGATGATGAGTTGATAGGTTCTTATCTTTCTTTACTGATTAGTGTTATTATGGAGAAATTTTATATTTTTTATTAACTCAGAGACCTTGTAATTCTAACTGTGCCTATTTCTTGTGATTTTTTATGATGTTTAATTAATGTGAAGAGATAATATCATTTCATGAGTATGTTTAATGATTAAATTTCTTTCCCATAGTTCTTTTTTTTCTTTTTGACAGAAACCTATTAGAAAACTATTTCGATGGAACTTATAATGTCTAAATTACCTTTCTATGAGGCTTTAATCAATGGATGAAAAACAAAAACATAAGAAATGCCAATTTTCAATGTGAATTTAATGATTTTTACAAAACTTTTCATTGTGGAAGGCCTCATATCTTATAGTGCAGTTTTAGTCTGTTTCTACTTGTAATGACCTCATATTAGAATTTAAAATATAGCTTCTTATTTATCTTTATAAATTTTAAAACTTTGGATTATTTATGTTATTATGTCTTGACACAGATTTTAGTTTAAGTCTATATAGACATATTACAACTTGCAAAGCTCTCATATAGTTCAAAATTGTTTCCTTAATTTAAATGTTGCTATGTTCTTCAAAATTATTATAGAAAATTGAAAATCA